CCGAGAAGGGGAGGGACCGGTCCCGGTGCCGACCCCGGTCCCGGTCCCGGTCCTGGTCCTGGCCGGGTCTCGCCGCCGCCCTCCAGTCCCAGGCGCCGCCTCGGCGTTACCGCGAAGTCCATTTTCTCTAGTCTTCGCAATCAGGTCGAATTTGCTCCGGCAGGAAGTTCAAATGTCACCTAATTGCTTTCATTCTGATGCTGTGTTTTCCTCCGAAGCGGTGGTCCAGGAAAACCAAACCCCCCAAGATCTGCTGCTTCTATTTCTTCCACCTTATTTTCTGTTTCTCCGCTTGGAAGCTGCGTAGCGTCTCCCAGCCGCAAAGAAAGGGACATTTTTTCCATTTCTGTCTCTGCCAGTGAGCTAACAGTGAATGTGGTTAAAACAACAGTCTAAAATAACCTTCGCCTACAGCGATTGCTGTGTCCCACTCTTCCCTCCCAATTAGCGGCGGGGAGGGGGCGAATGTGATTTCTGTTTTCATTGCGTTCTTAACGGCAACAATCCGGTTTCAGCAGCACTTCAAATGCAAACTGATCCTTTCGGCATTGCAGAATGATTTGCTTTTTCTTTCCTCAGAAAGGTGGTATTTTTTTTCCAAGCAATACACACACGTGAAAGTATGTTTTATTTATAGTCGTACATACAAAAACATAGAAGTTTTGTCCTTCTTCGCCCTCTACTTCACGATATAAACTTTATCCTCAGACCACACTGGCACAAACAAACGTGTTTCTGAGTCGACTTTAGCAAATACACCCCTGGCAATCTCTGCTCTGTGCTGGGGAGAGGTAGTGTTGGCAACGAACGTTAAAAAGAATGAGAACATTACAATCACATGAGAAAAGGAGGGTTTCTTTTTCAGTGAGTTCCTCTTTTATTAACACCACATTGGCAGGCAGGCCGGCCTCCTACGGTACCGCCGGGTGCCTCGGTATCTGCCCCGTCTCCCTCAGCCCTCGGAGCCGCACACATCTTTCTGCAGCGTAAAATCTTCCCCCCTCCCCTTCCCAGCAGAGAGCCGGGGCTGCCGAGCGGTCGGTGCCGCAGATGGGGGCTGCTCGCCCTTGATTTATAGGATAAACTGACCTTGCTGACACAGAAAGGAAGCCCCTATTCATGGGAAAGTGTGAGATCAGCAGAAAAGGGCGCTCACCGAGAGAGCTCAATTTCTTAAGACAACTTCAGATTTGTGCCTTTCCCCAGCCCCGGCGAGGGGTCGAGCCAGGCGGCGTC